TTAAATTAATTTCAATTAATATTTTATATAATTTAATAATTATATTAATTTACGAGATTTTTTTTAATATTTATCAAATAATAACATAATTTTTTTATAATAAAATACTAAAAAAACTACAATTACAATATTCTACAGTAATTTTAAACACAATTGCGGTAAATGAAGAAAAGCAAAAATACTGAATGTTAAGCCAATTTAAGAGCATGTTTGGTAAAACTTGTAAGTATTTTAACTTTTTTATACTCTTTATATTTCATAAGTTTAAATTTCTTTCTTAAAAACTTATATTTTTTAATTTCTTTTTAATCTTAAAAAGATCTTAAATAATAAATTTTAAAGAGTTTCAAATTTTTTCTTTTTATAAACTTCTTTTTTACTCATTTTTTACTCACTTTTTATTATTTTTAAAAGCAATTTTTAAATTTTCTCTCTAATAAAAATTTAAACTTATAACTCATAAACAGTACTAAAAAAGTAAAAACTTCCAAAAAAACCCCCACCAAACAGGCCCTTAGTTACTGCTGAGCCATAAGCTTAAGTTGCAGTTCAGAGACATTAATAGCCAGAAACAAGGTCTAACCAATAGTTCGTTTCATTAGGGACCGACCAGCATAGCCTGATGGTCCATTCCCCAAACCTAACAGCTTGGAGGCTTCAAAAACTTGATTTCCTAAGGTCGAAGAAAAAGAAAAGAGTTTGTTTCATTCGGAGCTCAGAGTTAATCCTTTGTGTAGGATTGTAGGAAAGTGCTATAATATACAGGTAAAAATTGTGTTGCTGGTCCCACTACTGGCAGTATCACCCAAGTTGAAGGGAGGGATGTTGCCATATAAAGATATCTGCGTTAAAAACAAGTATGTTGCAAAGCATAAGAAATCAATGACATGTCAATCCTTTTCATGTTCCTAGATGTAGATCTAATGAAATATTGAATTACCTGCAGCTAAGTCCAATGTACTATTTCAGCTCACTGTAAAAATATGGCGTTGACATATTTGAATTGACATTTTCTGTAGACCTTGCTAAAAATGAAACTGTGATGTCTCTCTTTTTATTGTATATCGGCATCTAGAAGAAAATCGTTAAACAAAGGATAGTCACCTCTTGCATTTGACATTGATGAATATGGTCAATTGGTCACAGGTTTTCTTCCTCCATGTGCAAACTGGGAAACATAACCATCTTTACAGCCTATGGCATCTTAAAAATTACCGTCCAAGTTGCATGCCTAAAATTTAGATTTCACTACCTCCTGGAAAACTCAAAAATAAGACCTTCTGCAACACTTCTCGCTCTTGCATCATCAAATAGTTTGCTCACAATAGCCAATGCAAAATCTAATACAGTACCAAGCCCTTTTCCTGTGATTATTTTACCATCAATAACTAAGTTTGCACCATCAACTGCATTGGTGAGCATGCTTATGGCAGATGGATGTGCAGTAGCTCTCTTTTCCTATATTTGAGAAAGGAATTTGAATATTATGAATGTGATAGTTTAAATTTTAGAAACAATAAAAGAACCTATTCAACTTACCTTTGGTAAACCATACTTATGAAGGATTGCTGGAGAAGAGCAAACTGCTCCACATATTCTTCCAGCTTTATCCTGTTCTTTGAGCAGCTTCTTCAGAATCCTAGATTTCTGTAACTGTTCTGCCCACCATCTCCCCCCTGAAAGTCCATAATGAAACAAAACATTCAAAGGAGTAAGATCAAACAGCATAGAGATTCTTTGAGCTATATCTTGGCCTAAAGTTGAATCTCAAACCAAAAGAATAGCATTCAGGATTACAATGCACCTCTGAAATTAATGGCATATAATGGGTTAGTATTAATTACCTTAGAATTTCTGCTACAAACAGTATATATTAACCTATGTGGACATGCACCAGACTGGCCATAATATAGTAGACTTCAATAAGGCTCTTGCCAAACAAACTCATGTGGATGAAGATATTATGGATTCTAAGTTTTCATTTTGATTTAGGCTGTGTGGAGATGTAGACTCTAGTATTCCACTCTCCAGCAAGGGAAATAATATCAGCACTGCTCAAGAACTAAAATATTATTGGAGGTTTCCAAATCCTTTTTTTTTTTAATAAAAAAACAATGTATTCAATGCCCCTTTATTATTAAAATGGCATCCTGCTATTACCGGTAGAATGATTAGATCATGTGTTGACTTGGCTGTATCACTGATTAACTTGTCTGAAACAATCTTTATGCCTTGAGACCCTGAAATCTTCATTGATTTTTCAAATGAAGCAATCACAGCATCCACCTTTGCACTCCTTAGAATGTCTATGATTGTGATTACTTCAATCTCATTGGATCCATTTGCAACTGGAACTACAACCTGCATAGCATTGTGATTTATGAAAAATTACTGGAATGGAGGGGAACATTTAGATGGCTAAAGAACTCAGAGAAAGAATATCCATACAGAAGTTACCTAACTGACAAACTCTAGCCCATATGAGAAATGAAACTACTTAAAATGTGCCAATTGCCATTTCCAATAACTCACATGTAAGAAAATGAAAAAAGTTCAGTACCCCATATAAATCATCAATTTTGCAAATTCAAATGGTTTAACAAATTCAGAACTTATTATGTCACAATTAGTGTCATACTTTGCAAAAGGAGATATAAACATTTTCTGCAGTCTTGAATAAATGATTTCATTCTAGGACCCAAATGGGTCATGACATCATCTTCAGTAGAAAAACTATCATTAGAAGAAGAAAATCAACTCACCCAAGCTTCAACACAAGTTACCCAACTAATAGGGCATGTCAAAAGAAAAAATATTGAATAAAAGAACAAATAAATAGTGTTAACATCTTTTGCAGTTTTTTTTAAAATAAATAAATATATATATGTATATATATATAAATGTTTCATCTTAAAAGTCAATTTAATGATTTAGTTCATAGATGGCATGGCTCTGAATATGTAGAACAAATACTAAAGATATATCCAATTACGCAGGCAACTAAAGAAACTAGTGATTACCCACATAAGGAGTGTGGTCAACAGACCACTCAACTTTGTTGAATTATTCCATTCATAGGATTATCTACGGCAGCATGCAAGAGCTGGGAAGAAAAAAAAAAGAATCATAAAAAGCGAAACTTATGCTCTTTTACTCAGTTTGGAACTAAAAATTCAATTTCAGTCTACAATAAGTCAACAATTCATCACAGCAGCTTGCAGTCTTCAAAGAAACTAAAACAGAAAGCAAAGACATAAGCTGGCATCATTACCATAGAAATTAAGAACCAAGAAATCCAATTCATCTATCAACTAAGCATGATTATTCAGTTCAGAGCTTAAGAAGTTTTTGCTGGGAAAGAAGTATGCAACATAGAATTAGGACTTAAGATACGGTTTTAAAATTTCAATTCAAGAGCATGAGTTTAAATAAAACAAGAGCCAGCACTTGAGCTTAAAGCTCAGTTGATAAAGTGCGTGCTTCCCCCATCTAAAACAGATGGGTTTGAATCCCCCCACCACCAATTATCAAAGAGAGTGAAACAAAATATGAGCAAAAGCAATGTGTGAGAGTAACAGTACTACCCTCACTATGAGTTTTGGATAATCTAGGAATTTATTTCCACTGTCCTTTTAATGAATTGCTCCTGATTATTAATAATTTAATATGTGGATTCATGTTCATGCCCATCATCATCTTAACGTGTGCACATGTACATCATTACTTTTCCTTTGGGGCCATATCAAATGAGCAATAGTATGGAACCAGCAACAGAATATTTTAACAACAGAATAATCAGCCTCACCAAGGATTCTGCTATCCCTTTGGCAACAGACTCCCCAAACAGCTGTTCAACTAAGGACAGAGCAAATTTGAAAGAAGTTCCTGGACCATGGCTTGTTGTAAGCTCTCCTGAAACTTGAATGTTTGATTTGACAGTCCAAAAGGTTGGAAGCTTGTCCATGAATGCAGGGTGGCATGTTGCCTTCAAGTGAACAACTACATCAAATTCAGCCATCAAAACACATATGCAGAAAACCATCAATAAGCAAGTACCAACCTGTTTTTTTCCTTAAGAGTCCCCATGGCAATAGAGTGACAGCTGGGGAAGCAGATATAGCTCCATACAGTCTCTTTTCCTCAGCATGTTTGCATGTAATTTTCTTAAGGGTTTCACAATCTCTTAATTGTGCTGATCCAGGCATTCCTCCCTTCAAACAATGCACTAAAAGTCAATCACTGCAAAGAAAACGAATTTAAAAGGAACAATATTGCCAAAAATTTTAAAAAAAGGAAAAATAAAAATAAAAGAGCAAAACTTTAACCTCAGATTCCCGAAACCCCATATTACACCATACCTCTTATTTTCATTTACGAAGCCTCATTGAAAGAATTTCCCAGAAAAAGCAGAGTTCCAAGTGAAATCTCTGTCATCTACTGCCTTTTTTTTTCTCTGGCCAACTGTCATCTACTGCCTATTGTTGACAATTGTTAACCAAAGTTCACATGCCCCTAGTACTCTTTGCTTCTAACAACCAATGCAAGAATATACAATCATAATGCAATATTTTTCAATACACCAATATAAAGTCTTAGCTGCACAATCCCTATATAGGAGTTACTACTTCACCCAACAACAACATGCAATGTGAAACTGAGGAAAAGAAAATTAACAGTCAAAAGAACTAACCGGCAATGCCACCAGATCAAAAACCTGATTAGAACATGAGCATTCGGAGGCATCCACTACCAATATAGTGCTAGATGATGCTTCAACCTCTGGCTGTGGCTCCACAAAAGCCAAAGTCACCTCTGCACCAGCATGACGCAAAACATCTACTAATATAACAACTTCCATTTCCTTAGTGCCAAATCCAATTGGTACTAAAACTTATCAGATAAAAACAAAAAAAAAAAAAAAAAAAAAGAAAAAGAAAAAAGAAAAACAAAATTAAGCCCTTTATAAATTCAAATTCTCAACTTAGATGAGCTCCATCTTGATCAAATGAGCAGCTTTAGCGTATCTATATTAGCAAAATCACTTCAAATCCATGGAACTAAAATACATAACCCATAAGTGGACTCCAACCCACCTATTCTTTCAATCTCTGGTGAAAAGGGTTTTTGCAATTTTTAAGAAACAAAACTCCATAACTTCTCATTTCTTCAAGGAATTAAAGAGGAGCATTGCGGAGAAAGAAACCAAGTAAAATTGCACAATTATCATTTTGTCAAGGATTTCAAGGAAGAAGGGTAAACGGATTGAGAAATTAAAGACCTTTTTGGGAGGAATAGGTGCGGTTGTGTTCGTACTAGCAGTGGTCTTCGTGACTGCTGCTGCGGGTATTCTTGAAGATAAGAGTTTTGGCGGGTGTTGAAGAGTTTTTTGCAGGTGTTGGCTGTGGATAGGCCATGGATACAACCGACCTGTTAAACGCAACAGCTGCAGAACTAGAAGCAGGCATTAGGGAAACCCTCGGAGCAGAGAACTTCGCCGGAGCTACTTTCAGGGAAAAACACGATGATCAAAGTCTCCATGGACGATAATCTTTTTTGTTTTTTTTTTTTTTAAAGGGTAATTGCGCTGATAATTTTAGTGTATGTTCTTAGGGGAAGGGGAATTGTTAACCCTGGATTCGAACGTTTAGCCTTTAGGAAGTGGTTTCACGTTGCTTCTCAAAGAGAAGCATGACCAGGGAGCCCATACAGGTGAAAGGCGGGGAACGCAAATCTTGTTATTACAGACTTTACAGCGAAGAGTTCCGGTTAAAGTCGGAGTATTTAACATTCACATGTCAATGTTCATAAACAATAGCATAAGTAGAGTAGGGGTGACAAACAATACTATAAGTACGGGTGACAAAAGAGAAGGACTCGGTGGCCAACAATACTATAAGTAGGGGTGACAAAAGAGAAGTACTCGGTGGCCGGTGGCTACCTATTTTGTTATAAAGGTGTCCTCATGTAAGTTGAGGTATGAGTTTCAAGTATTACCTTCGTGTTAGAAAAAAAAATAAAGATAATGAGAAATATGCAATCAGTTGACCCAATTTCAATATAATATGTGAAAATGAATTAGGATTTACATATTTTAATTTGTAATTAGTAAATAATCTATAATATTAACTTTTACGAGTCACAAGTTAAATTCGAGTCAACTTATAAGTTGATAAATTGATCTATGTGTTTTATTTTTTATTATTATTTTTAAAAATATTGTGTCTATTATTCTTAATTAATTTTTTATTAATAACTTAGTCCATTCATTTATACTCTTCAACCTCCTCTCCATTACTCACAAAATTTTGAACTTATTTTGAGTGTTTGCTCGTCGTTATTTTTTGTCGTTATTTCTTCTTCTTTCTCTAAAAATTATGTGGATTTGATTTAATTATCAAATATCATGAACTAAATGATAATGCAACTAAAATTTTGAAGATTTGATACTGGGATATAGATATAATGATTTAGTAAAAGATACTCTTAGAATAGCAATTTCATTGTAAGGAGAAGCTTAAACTCTTCGATAAATTATGTTTCAAGATAATGATTGCAAAATTTAAACTTTATTTTTTAAGAAATTTAAATGTTTTAAGTTTAATATTGTTAATCAACTTATTGTTATACATAACTTTATGATTTTTTCTTAATTTAAATGTTTGTGATGGGGACTATAAATTGCTTAGTGTTAATGAGTTTTATTATTTTAGAATTTTAAATTTTAATTGGATTTAGATGCTTATAATTTTATTTGTATATAATAAAATTAAAAAAAATAATTGTAAAGGATGAAAATAAGGTAAATTCGCAAGTTAACTCATAACACATTAAGGTTGGATTAGGGTCGACCTTTTCTAACCTATAATCCATTTACGAGCTTATTCATATAACCTATTATTCGAGTTAATCTAAGCTAAACCTGACCCAACCTGTCTGTTTGCCAAGCCTATTATAAGTTTGATAGAAGAAACTCAATTTGTGAGGTGAAAGGTAAAATGTTATCCTCTAACTAATGTTTTACAAATATAATTGTTAGATTAAATATTTTATTTATATAGATTATATATGTTAATATTTAAATTATTTTAATATCTCTAATCACTTTGTTAATTATATAAAATTTAATATGTTAAATATATTTCAGTAAATAGAGTTTATTTAATTAATAGATTATAAATATTAAATTAATATAAATATTAAATTAATATAAAAGTTAACTTGTATGATTTAGATTAATAGAATTTTCAATCAGACAATTAGTTTTTAAAAATATTAATTAAAACATAAAATTTTAAAAAATTCTTCAAAAAAAAGTTTTAAGAGAATGATATATTTTACACTAACCTCATTTGTTAAACATATATTTAACAATTTACTTATATATATATATATATATATGTAACTGTGTTAAATTTTATGTAATTAATAAATTAATTAAATATATATTTTTAATTTTTAATTACATAATAAACGATAATTCACTCTCACTTCTTAAT